ACGTGTCTGGGCCTTTTAGCTAGTACCTAGGCTGTTAGTATGGTAAGTTACAGCATCAAAAGAGACCGAACAGCTAAGGCCGGTAAGTCAAGTGGAAGTACAGCAGAGAAGAATCAGTAATGGCGCAACTATAACGCAAACGACTACGGTCTCGCTCGGGGCCTACCAGAGAGCCCTGCCGTATGGTGAACATGGACTGTCGAGAAACAGATTCTGCCAAAAGTTACTGTCTTGTGGAAAAACACGATACTGAGCCAATTTGACTGTGAAAATGGCAACTTCTAGTTCACGTTGCGGCGCTCGCTATGCCCCACCAGTGGACATGGTACTAAATATACAACAGGTTTCCTCGAAAGAAGAGGACACGTGAAAACTCTTCTGGCACAGGCAATGACGCTTAGTTACCTGCCGCAAGGAGGCGGACCTGTCAAATCATTGCCTTGCGGTATCCATATGGTAAGTTCTTACTACGGGAAGGTCAAATGACAACGCTGGCGGACACAGGGTTGAAATGAACCCGAAAAAAAACAGGTGAAAGCCGTCCTTACTGGATAGGAACCAGTGCCACTTGTGATGCTGTAGTCGATTTCACAACTGTTCTGGCGTACTTCCCAAAACTAGACGCAGACTACATATGCAACGAAGTCTACTAGGTCGAATTCGGTACGATGCTTCAATGTGCGGTCTTGTCATTGTGAGAATGTGGTGGCCAGACGAGTGAACAGATGTGCGTCGATTGGAGTTTTTAGGACCTACGCACAGCAGCCATTGTGTTAATGGCCAGAGACTCGTCACGATTCGGTTTCGTTAAATAGCTTGGTGAAAAAAGGCCTACATCCGACTCACCAGGGTACATTTGGGCAGCTTGTACTTCAATAGCGAGCGTACGGAAAGGCTAGTAGAAAGCATACTGCACGGCATATTTCAGGGTAGAGCCGTGTCAGAATCATGCACAATGCGCAGTGTGGGTAGCGGCCATGCTGGAGAGGAAGACGGTACGCTATTCGAGAATCTTTTTTCCCCAGTACGATCGGCCTGTTTATGTGCTGTTGAGGGCGCCGCTTAACTCAGCTTGCAGGTTACTAATAAGGCGGGACCTACAAATATACAAACGGTGAGCAAGCTTACAGCTTCTGTTCCAGTTTCGGGCTTCGATCTAACTAACATAAGTCGGTTTGCGTACTGAGGAGGGCAGCTGGTACAGGTCACAGGTCCAAAACAATGATCTCTATCCGAGAGATATGTTAAAGATTGCCATGTAGGAGCCCCTTAATGTAAACGGACGTACTTGCACGATGGAGTCTTTGGCTACACAACGCAACCCACGGATACGTCTAAAGCACCTGGCTTTCGGAGACACTTAACTCGAAAGACTTTCACGACACGACGACAAATTCTGAAATCAAATTGCTCAAAATGTTGAGGAAGCTTCAGCAAAAACAATAAAGGGTGACTGAAACGAGTTTTTAATGAATCGGTTCTGTAGTCCGTCTGCCTTAGCGAAAAGAAGCAACCATGCTGTGGCGATTGCGCCAGTTACGATCCAAGCATTAATGGAAGGTTCATTGTACGCAACTTCTGAACGGCACGGGTTCGGTCTTCTTAACTGTCATCAAGTCTGAAGGCGGCCCAGCGTCCCAAGCATAACTGTGACGGCAGTCGACGACCAATTGTGAAGATCCTTGATGCGAGGTTTGCTTTGCGGCACCAGTATATGAAAGTAAGTCGTATTTTGCGCCATTTTCGAAAAATTATCTATTTATATGATGGTGGTACTGTTCTTAAGGCGATATTCAAGAAAGGCGTGAAAACACTCAGACACCGTCGGCTTCCAGAACCACTTTAGCATGTATGGCGAGGTACTTGAAAGAGACGTTGCGACTTTAGACGGGGGCTGTGTTCTGAAGGTCTGCACCTTTTATTTCACCGACGCACTCTTTCTAAGAGAAGGCAAGAGCTGCTCATCAAACGGAATAATTTGTGGGCAGGTGGACTATTACTATCCTGGACCGAACACCATGCAGGTCAAAGTTGACAGTGAACATCGGATCAGACAGATGCATGGACTCCGTATTACTTTGCTGAGGCCTCGAACATCAGTGCAAATGCATTCTTTCTGACGAAAATCCTTTAAGGCGGTTAGGGAGCAGGGTATTTGCATGCAGGAGATATGCAGTGGCTGATAGAGCTTAGACAATGGGGCGCGACCTCCATTCATAGTATTCGTCTCTAAAATCTCCCCAAAATAACTAGTAGACAGTCAATGAGTGGAGCTGACAATCAATGAATGCTATCTACTCGTCAAATCAGACTTGGCCAAACAGCATTTTAAATGAAAGTCATTCCATCAGAATGCAGTTCGGTTTGACTTTGAGCACGGGCACCACAAAGCATTACAAAAGTATGTTGTGA